AATTATTAACTCACACACTGTCAATGGTTTTGTTCACACTAACAAAATTTGCAATATCTGCACAATGTACCTAAAGTGAAATACACGCACACAGATAAAACGTTTACCAACATCAAATAAAATACTACGTTCAAATTATGTCAGGGGCCGTAAATTATTATATCGTGTATAATTTGAAAGCACATCTATCTTCGTATAGAAAAAAAAAAAAATTAACTGCATATCATCAAAAAAAAAAAATAACGAAATATTGTAAAACAAGAGACTAAAAGGCTATAACCTAAACGATAAGCTAACTTCAAGGACTACTAAATGACGTGACATTTTTGATTGCCCAACAGCTGTGACGTCTACAGTCAAGAGGATGACAAGTTTGATCTCATTCGTTCAATTTCTTCGATTTCGATCTTCGTTGATCGTTTCATTCGTTTTCATTCATCTGTCGGTCATTGACGGTCAATCAGAATCAGTCAATGTGAAATTTTATTGAGAATTGGAATATTTGAGAATTAATTTGTCCATTTCTTCACATTGTGGTTTAACTGATTAACTGCATTGCAATAAGATTTTCCCAAGCGAGTAAGTCGCGAGTTTCTGAGTTTCTGTTGCAAATAAATAAAACCGACTCGAATCTAACAGTACACTCACAAGTAACGAGATGGAGGTAAGAAACTTGAAATTTAGAAAATAAGTGCGTGCGGCTCAACCGGTTTATTACTATGTAAATATTCTTATTTTATAGATTGAGATCTTGAACGCTTCTGGATCTAAACCTTTGGGAAAAATTGTAGTAAATGAAAGTAATACTATAAAAAATGTGAAAGATAAGATTTACCAGACCGTCAAGAGATCTTTGCACCCCGACCGGCAAGCTATTAAATTAGAAGCTAAAGGAAAGTCGTTGAAAGATGAAGAGACCCTAAAGTCTCTGAATATTCAAGAAGGGTCTAAATTATATGTGAAGGATCTAGGACCACAGATTTCCTGGAAGAATGTGTTCCTTGCTGAGTATGCTGGCCCATTATTTATTTACCTATGGGTTTACCAAAGGCCTTGGATGCTCTATGGTGAATCCACATCAGCACCTGGCACGGTGGCTACGTGAGTAATATTGTCATCTTCCAGTTTAACATTATATTTCATTTTTAATAGTCAAGTTATGTTATAATAGTAGCAGAGATTAATTGAAATAAATTAATTTGTATGATAAAGAATTCAAATTTGTAACCCTTTGTTGATCAAAGATACAATTTTAAATTATTTTTATAGTTTCAAGATGTGGGTACTCCAAAAATACCACATTCTAATAAGAATAATAAATTATGGCACAGATTTCAGAATAGTTGATGATTTAATATTTAAATTTCAGAGTGGCAACTGCATGCTGGTCCTTCCACTATGGCAAGCGGTTGCTAGAGACCCTCTTTGTTCATCGTTTCTCTCATGGCACTATGCCACTACGCAACTTGTTTAGGAACTGCTCTTACTACTGGCTGTTCACCCTGTATGTGGCGTACCACATCAATCACCCTCTATACACCGCTCCCTGCAACACCTGCTATTACATCGGACTTGTTGGATTTATTGTGAGTACCAACTTATTATTACATTTATAATTTTTAAGTTCTTCAATATGCATAGGATTATAACCTTCATGGTTATGGACAATAGTCTAATTAAAATTAAGTAACATAATTAACAGACTAACTACAATATGCAAAAAAAAATACTGAATCTGTTACATTTATAAATAACACATTTTATGCTACAGTGACTTGTACTTTGAACTGATATTTATTCATAAAGGATTGGCTGAAGCAAAGAAACCAAGCTAACTTTGTTAATTATATTACTAATAGTAAATACTAATATGCTCAGTATTTCCTCACTATAAAAACTCCATAAAAAGCAGGTAGTTGTCTGTGGCATTCATTTTGTTTACCCACTCATTGTGAATACAACCTTTAACCTTGTACAAGAGTCAAAGTCCATTATATTGAAAATGTTAAAGACATGCATTATTTTTATAATTAAACCAATGATAATAACATACAGCTACTTTACTTAGGTATATTTATCTTCTGTATTTTATTTTAGTGCTTATCTGTATAATTATAAAGATGTAAATTATTATCATCCAAATACTAAAAGTCTGCTCAATTTTAAGTTGTACTTGAATATTATTAAATATCATGCCGTCTCTGTCATTTTATAAAGAATTTTTAGTGACAGAACTATACTTAAGTGCTACTTAAAATTGAGTAGTGTTTGAGTATTTGGACATATGACTCCGATAATTTTATATTTATTTTAACTATCTACCTTATATTTATTTTAACTATCTACCTTTTTGAAGGAGGAGGTAGGTACTATGTTCGGCTAATTGTTTTTTTTTTTTTCGCCGATTTGTCCGGCATTTGTAAACCGATTTCCAAAATCCTTGTTTCGTTTGAAAAGGTATACTCCCGAGAGGGTTCTATTTCTATGAGGTCAGGATCTGATGATGGAATCCTAGGAACTTTCGAAAATCGTAGGGGCAAATAATGCGTCTATTATGTTTTTCGATTAGGATGATGATAAAATAAAAACTGCGTTTAAAAAACCGACTCCAAAAAACCACAAACGAATGACAAACAAAAAATCAAAACTAAAAATCAAAAAATATCTATTATTAGTACTGATAGGTTAGAAGTCGGTGCCATAAGCTCATACCATAATGAATTAACTTAATGCCCACAAAATTCTAAATTATCTATTAAGGTTTTAATGAATAATTTTATATTGAACTTATGGCGCCGACTTCCAACCTATCAGTGGGTGGGTAACCTATCAGTACTAATAATAGTTATTTTTTAGTTTTAAAGTTATTTTTACGATAAATTATTGCAACAGTTTATCATAATGTATATCAGAATTATTTTCTCACTATTCAGACCTCACAAATCGCCAATGTTATAAAGTAGATAATAATATGCTATATTTATCATAGTTTATAAGCAAGAAGCATAAAGTGTAGTTAGTTAAGTAGTTCTGTTTATGCAATTACTTGACAACTATATCAGTTGCGTAACCTATTGATTCTATACAGCATATTTTATTCATGTATGTGTATTACTTACTTAGGATACCTTCAATATTTCTTCAACGAGTATGCAGATTTGTATAGGGTAGGGTAGGTTGGATATAATTTGTGACGAGAATATCTTACAAGTTTCAAAATTGATAATCTCAGCAATGAACATGATCTAGGAAAGAATGCTGATGGGAGGAAACTTTAAAAGAGGAAAGAAGTCTTAATCTATATATTATTTAAAAATGAATCCGTTTTTACCTTGGTCACGGCATCACGCGTGAATGGTTGGACCGATTTCACTAATTATTTGTTGTTGTGTTTGTTATTATTTGGAGAAGGTTCTTAAGACAGAAAACATCCTGAAAATGCTACGGGAACGGGAGAAAACGGGATTGTGCGTACGAAGTCGCGGGCAGAAGCTAGTATTAAATAAAACCAACAAACCTTTTAAACTGTCAGACACCAAGCGGTCACCGGTGACCGCAACCTATTGTTCTATAATTGTGTCTATAATGACGGTACTCGACGAGTTAAAATGAAGGTAGTAACAATATTTTTATTTTTGTTTTCAGTTCTGTGAGCTTGGTAACCTGAGCATCCACTTGCTTTTGAAGAATTTGAGACCTCCCGGTACTAAAGTGAGGCGCATCCCTGTTCCCGATGGCAACCCCTTCTCTCTTCTCTTCAACTATGTGTCTTGTCCTAACTACACCTACGAGTTTGGATCATGGCTGTTCTTTACTGTCATGACTAAATGTGCTCCAGGTAAGAAATAGCGTAATATAGAAACTTATATTTTTTAGTTACAATAAAGCTGAAGATTTATTGATTTAGCTCAATCTCTAGAACTTTTTGTTAAAAAAAAAAAATATGATGGATAGTTGATTTTGTTTTTTCAAGGAAGGCTATATAAGGTATAAAATTTCACGCTACACAATCAATAGTAGTTGAGCAGCAAGTGATACTAGATACGTAAAAGTAGCTACTTTCAAATATTAACAATATCGACGTAAATCTCACCTGGAATTACTTTTCGATTCACATTTTAAATGCGTAAATGTGTAAAGCATGTTGAACTTTGTGTTCCTCTTCGTATACATTAACAGCGCATTACGTCACGAATGGTAATTATTTATGAATATTAAACAAACCTTCAATTCAAACGCGATTTGTCGACACTTAAGTTTTTATCCGTTAATCTGTACTTAATGTGGTAGTAATAGCATTTTTTATATTTTCTAGCTGGTCTGTTCGCTGCCGCCGGCTTCTATCAAATGGCAGTGTGGGCCATCGGGAAACACCGCAACTACAAGAAGGAATTCGCTGACTACCCCAAGGGACGTAGAGCTATCTTGCCTTTTATTCTATAAGTAATTAAGTTTAATATTCCAAATTATAATAGACATTCAATGTTAATTAGCTAGACGAGGACTCATCAGTCACAAATATACTCCTACGTCTTATTTCTATGGGCGGGTATTAGCTAAGACTTTATGGGTGATGGCTTATGTTTTGAATGACATGGATGCATCGGCATCAAGGACAGTTTTCGTTAAGAAAAATATTAATTTATATTTTTGCAATTATTTTTACGTTATTAAATAGGGCTTTTTCTTTATAACATTTAAACAAGTTTTACTGTTTAAAATACCCAACGATAGACCAGATATTTATGTTTAATAAAATTTTTATTATATTTGTATTGTTTATATTTATATTATCCTCCGAATATTTTATTATTTAGAACTTATTTAATTATGAAACCAATAACTATCTTAAAACTGTTAAACATTTATACACCCACTTTTACGCGCTCAAACATTATAACGACTTAATTAATTATAATCAGCAGTGCAGCCGTTTATAATTTCATTGTAACATGATTAGAACATGCAGAAAAATAAAATAAACATGTAAAGACATAACACACAAGTTTAAAATACACTTTATTGAACATTCAAACCATAATATAAGCAAGTAATCATAATTATACAAGTATGTACTACATCTTTTCAGTATCGTGGGTAGGGTTTTCCTGGACACATCTTACTTTGTCAAGTAGTCGCTCGTTTTCTTGCTTCAAAGCCGTAATCACTCCTTCTTTTTCCTGTAAAAAAGTAATAATGCGTGTACCTATATTTTTTTTTGCCATAGGAAAATATATCTAATATGGTGTCCCTTCGTCCAGCATACTCACCATGGAATCCTGATATTTCATGAATGTCAAAAAACTGTTCTGAAATAGTGCTAAATAGTGCCCAAAGGAAAAAAATAGTGCTCTTGTACTTGCGAAGTTATAGCCATAGTTCGATGAGTATGCTGGACGAAGGTTTCGCCCAGCATACTCACCTCCGTACGGAGAATCTGTATACGCTTCAAACATAATTCATACTTCAAAAAATAGTTCCCAAATAGTACCAAACGGTGCCCAAAAAGAAAAAACAGTGCTCGAATAACTTCGGAGTTATAGGCTTCGTTCAGTGAGTATGCTGGGCGTAGGTTCTACGCCCAGCATACTCACCTCAGTGCGCGAATATCGAACGAGCTATAGGTACAATTTACGTCTCAAAAAATTGTGCTTGAAATAGTGCCCAATATCAGTCCAATTTTTGCTTGACTTTTGACCTAGAAAACCATTAAATTTGATTGTAAACTTCTACATACATTACATTGAGTACAGTCGAATACAATATTATTAACTTTCTTTCTAACAATTTTTGTCTTGTGTAAATTATTAATTGTCTATGTAAGGGAGTATTTACTTTAGAATCGCAATATTATTAATTACACATTATTTTAATAATACTTTATAATAATATGATTAAGCCTTCGCGCGTCGCATGGGACCCCGGTAGCTAGGAACAATGATTTTATATATTTTGTCTAGATCACGGCGCTTGAAGGATTAAGATATCAAATGAAGTAAATCATGCATGAAAAATAAAGTTGCTGTTATTAATGCTTACATTACAACTGACAAAATTATTCAAAATAATCATTTTCCGGATCAAGGACGGTACCACAACGTTTACGGAATTGACCTGTATTCCTCATGTGATAAAGTTCAATATAGTGTGGCAGTAATGGATGCACGTACGGTCAATAGGTATGGGGCTTACGACGCGCGGCGCCCGCGACGCAAATGAATATGTTTATGTTTAAATACTAGATGGCGCTGCCCTAACATCTTACGATTATTAGACAAGACTGATCTGTATTTTGAAGGTGATAAGGGTCCATTTTGTGTCACAAAGCGACGCGCGGCGCCCGCGACGCTTTTATTTATTGGCTGCAAATGACTGTTTTTATTCAGACAAACACACAATGCAATGAAGTAATAGACTTCATTTACGCTTAAAGTTTCATTCATTTATTATTATTTATAAAATATATAATAATGCATTTAATCGAAAGTTTTTGACATGTGAGAAAATACCATAATTATTTCCAATAACATGAAGTCTACAATTAGAAAGTTTAATATTTTTGTCCAAAAACATGTGTCGACGACTGTACCCCATTTTACGTTAGTATGTAGAAGTTTACATTAAAATTTAATGGTTTTCTAAGTCAAAAGTCAAGCAAAAATTGGACTGATATTGGGCACTATTTCAAGCACAATTTTTTGAGACGTAAATTGTACCTATAGCTCGTTCGATATTCGCGCACTGAGGTGAGTATGCTGGGCGTAGAACCTACGCCCAGCATACTCACTGAACGAAGCCTATAACTCCGAAGTTATTCGAGCACTGTTTTTTCTTTTTGGGCACCGTTTGGCACTATTTGGGAACTATTTTTTGAAGTATGAATTATGTTTGAAGCGTATACAGATTCTCCGGACGGAGGTGAGTATGCTGGGCGAAACCTTCGTCCAGCATACTCATCGAACTATGGCTATAACTTCGCAAGTACAAGAGCACTATTTTTTTCCTTTGGGCACTATTTAGCACTATTTCAGAACAGTTTTTTGACATTCATGAAATATCAGGATTCCATGGTGAGTATGCTGGACGAAGGGACACCTAATATGCGCAATCAATAGTTCAAAGTCCATTTGCAGATACGATTGATATGTAGTAATATGTAATCTATATTACATAACAGTTACCTAATTTGGCACTAATGAAATTATGTACTATTATCGATTTCGTTCACAAAATAATATAACTCTTGCCACTTACACCAGTACCACATATGTTGATGTTTCCTCTACATGAACTTACTATCGGTGGTATAACAAAATGCGACGGGCCCCCAGCTAAATGTTTTCATCTGAACTTCTCTGTTTTTTATTGGAAACGGGGGCCTACCCGATGAATTTGCCCCAGGCATAGTTGCTTACCAATCATATCAGAATACATTTACTGCGGACGTTTTTAATTTTTTTATATATTTCATGGGCCAAGGGAAATGTAAAGTCCTTGAGGGATTTTGCCAAAATCCTCATGCTTGCCAGGCGATTTAGAATTATTAAAATGTTTAATGCTGATTACTGTTTAAGGATATGCCCACTATAACTCTTATAAAATAAAAACTATGTTATCAGACTGTTTACCTCGATCTTTTGCTTGAACTTTTCATCAAGTTTCTCCCTGTCCTCGGAGACTTGTTTAAGCTTGGCCCGCGCGGTAGCAGGCGGTATGTACCGCGCAGACAAGCCCAAGATGGACTCCATTTGAAAGCATCGAGTACGGGTAGTTTTCAACTCGGTACGCAGATTGTTAATCTCAGTAAGCAATGTGCAGTTTTCCTAGAAAATGAGGTGTAACATAAATAAATACTTTTACTCTTTGAAAGCTACTTAATAACCATTCTCTTTACCGACATGCTTGTATGAAAAATTACTAGGCGCTCTGTAGTTCTTGCTTACGCCCATGAAACAAATACTATTAATACCTACACAGCACGATTCCTTTCTCTAAAGAATCCAGCCAAATGGCTTTGTTTTATTGAGATTCCTTCAATCATCATAATCATACCTAAATAGGTAGCACCTACTTATTGACGTGAAACAACTTACGTCCATAATCTTCCCAATGTCGCTCTTAGAGCCACCTAGAGCCTTAGCGAGCTGGCGCTTCAAGCCAGCCACCTGCTTCTCCAAGTGATCTCGCTGACGATTGAACTCGCGAACCGCCTCGTCATCCGCAATGCGACTCCGGACAAAATCAATGTCCTCGACGTATTTGTGAAATAAGGTCTAAGTAATATAAAAAAGAAAAGAGTTTTTAGTATTGTTCCTTTGATAAAGTGCTACGTATAGAGAAATGAACGATTTTCCTACCAGATATGTTCTACATTATGTGACATGTAAATCTTTGAGAAGGGTACTTCAGTATCTATAAAAAAATTATAGTCATTTCAAATGTCGTTATTCTATTACGTCGTAGAATAGGAATTTGTCCAGCCATAATTTGAAACTGTCGACTAGTCTAAAACCTGAAATGACACCTAGACATTATTCAAGTTACGCCATACATCATACATGCGATATTATTTGCAAATCATATTACACGACTAACAACACCTCTGCATTGCGCCAACGCTAATGGTACCGGCATTTTAGCGAACCTACTTATTTCTATGTAGCTTTATTACCTACTCACATACTTACCTATAGGTTTTATATACAATTCTCAGTTTGAGTTTGAGGATCGTTGGGGATTCAGGAATTTGGGAGATTGGAGAAGGGGAGGGTAATTGGGCCTCCGGTAACCTCACTCACACGACGAAACACAACGCAGGCGTTGCTTCACGTCGCTTTTCTGTGAGGACGTGGTATCACTCCGGTCAAACCGGCCCATTCGTGCCGAAGCATGGCTCTCCCACACTTAAACTTTACCTTCTATAAATACTTACCTACTTATAAGTTATTACTTTTTACCAATCATACTCACTTTCACAGCCAACTTTAATTTAGAAGGATCTTGGAACTCTGCCGTCATATTGTGCAGATCAATCTTAATTTTCTTTAGCGTATTTTTCAATGTCAAGTTTCGATCTGCTTCGGCCAAGAAGTCCTTTTTAGCTGAGCCCAATTTTTCATTGAGCTGCTGAATTTTAAGCTCTGTAATAGTGAATAATTAAAGGGGTTTAATAAACAAGTGTAGGTATATCATTGAATATTGTGGTATTTTATAACTATTTACAGCGGTTTGCATATCGAATATCTACATTTGAGTATTGGTACAGACATTAGCACTACACAGCATTTTCTAACGTGACTGTAAATAAAGTAGGTGCGAAAATTAATACATTATTGTGAATACTTAATGTCTACAATCTACGTGATAGGATAAAAATTACAACTGAAATAGATTCGACAACAATATTTTACCGCGGATCGCTTTTTTCTTTAGAAGAGTTTCCAATGAAACTTCCAACTCGAGTATGCGGATTTTTTTCGCCTTTATTTCGCGTTCCAACGGGTCTATCTGTTGTACAAAGATATTATCTTTTAAATGGTTCACAGCTGTAACTTCTTTCCTATTTAATAATGAGTGGGAAATACTGAAACAAGCCTACTTTGCTAACTGTCATTTTATCCTACAATTTCATACCAAGTTCATGTTTCGTATTTAGCAGTTTTAATTCCTCGTTTTCCATATCATCAATTTGATGAGTTAATTCTCGTATTTGCATCTCTTTTGGCTCAATCTACACCAGTAAAGTTGCCAGCATCAGCAATTTAATAGTTTTAATTTAATTAAGGTACCTATGTTTCAAAAAGAATTCTAAGCAGAAATTAAATATTTGTATCGTTTTGCTGACCTGATTTTTCAACTCAGTGATCTTGAAGTTCAATACAAACTTATACTTCTCAAGTTCCTGTTTCTTTCGTTTTAATTCGTAAATTCGCTTTTCTTTGTCTTGTATAGAGTTGTCTCTTTCTCCAATTTCTTTCTTCAAATCGGCAACATCTCTTTCAAGAGTTGAAATTACTTTTTGGAACTGTTTGTGTTCAGCTGCAAATGATAAGATAGTTAGATCCGATTACAATAAATAAAATGTTTTATTTATAACTAATTTAGTAGCATTGGTAGGTAGAGGTACCTTTTAGCTGTGATATTTGATGTTTAAATTCGTCAATGTCTTTGTGGGCACTAATCAATTTCTTTTTCATAAGCCCAGTTTCTCCCTTGAGCCTCACGTTAGCATCCTTCTCTTCCTTCAGCTGTACTTCGTATGCTGTGCGGATCTCAATAATTTCGCGGTCAGCATCTTCTTCAATAGACGTTTTAATGGTTTCATGTTCTTTTTTCTCCATATCTGCTTGTTCTTGTAACTAAAATTATGCAAACGTAACAAAATAAGACCTGGGTAGACTCATCAACAAAAGTATTGCGTAAAGTCTAGTTAATATTCGGTAACAAAATATCTGTTAGCACAATAATTACAATTTAACAAATCAATTTCAAATGATTTGTGACTTTGTAATTATTGTCAATTAGTTTCAGTTTCGCGTACCTACCTCTTGCAACATGAGCTCTTTCTCTTCCAACTTTGCTTCGAACTTATTGTTCATTTCTCTAAGAGCAAGACGTTTACTTTCAGCCAGTTCTTCAAGTCTCTGCTCATAATCTTTGCGCATTCTCGCCGTCTTGTCTTCAAGGCTCTGTAGATGGAACGAATCTTGTTAAGAAAATGTTTATAATTTAAAAGTATTATTTAATTTATCTACCGTGCTTATTTGCTAGGTCAGATTACCATTTTGAGTAATTCTGAACAGTTCTACCTACTTACATTTTCGCGTTCTAGCACATACACAAAGGAAGCGACATCTCTGCTTACCGTTTTAGGGAAAAAGACACGACTACAAAAAGTCCATTGTAAACAAAGTCACCTGGTATCTGTCATACTCGCTAATGAGTCTGATATTGAAGTCGGCTTCTAAAGCTTGCAACGTTCTCTCATGGCCTGACCGCAACTTCGCGATATCTTGTTGAATCATGCCTATTTCGTGAGTGTGTTCGTTTTCCATTTGCTGTAATGGTGAATTAAAATGTTAATCCAGTATGAATAATCAATTAATTTTGTTACGGTTTAGCTGGAAATAAATGGCCACCTCATTCTTTTCCTTGAGTTCTTCGATAGCTGCGCAGTAGCCTTCGTGGACCTCTTTCAGTTTTTCTGCTTGTGTCGCTTCGGCCTGGCGCAGCTGATAAGTGTGTTCCGTTTCGAGTTCACTCATTCGCGTACTCAATAACTAAACAAAGAAATCCAATCAATTAGTACCTAATACTCACGCATTATTTTTTCGCTTTCAATTTTGCCACATATACCATTTTATTAACTCGAAATGAATTCGCGATAAGTGGGCTTAATTCATTATCGATACCTACTGCGCCCTATTTACATACAAAGGCTTTGTCTGTGGCTCTTATGAATAAGCATCAAAATAAATATGAACACCAAGTTGTGTGTCACGTTTAAATTATATTGTTTCTTCCAATTCAATTTGACTCGTACTTACATTAATGTTGTTTATTTTCTCCTGTAGATCTCTCTTGCTAATTAATATTTCTTTGGAGTACGCAAAGTCCTTGTCTAGAGCAATAGCTCGACCATCAGCGTTGGTGAGTCTCCATAAGCATATGGAGGCATCTTCTGCGACTGATACCAAAGTCTGATCGTCATATGAAAGTGCTATACAGGTTACTTTCTTATTGTGCATGTGAAACTCGTTAAATATAGGTTTATCTAGTAATGGTAGCTGTATGGAGGTGATGCCACCGAGGCCTCCGCTTATGAACAGCATTAAGTCTGACCGTGATAGTACCACGGTATCTAGTGGAGCACCAATCAATCCCATATTTCTTCTAATAGTGTTAGCACCAATTTCTTTAATTTCTCCGTCTGATCCTACACCATAAGATGTTTTACCGTTCCTGTTAAAGGAAGCTGGTTACCATTCACTATCAGTTTGTTATTTTGTATGCTAATTGCAGTATTTCTTACCCATTTACGGCACATCCATAGAATTGGTTAGTTTTCAATATAATTTCTCCGACTCTTTGTCCGGTGACCATGCTCCATTCGTACACCGCGCCTTCGGTTCCACATGATATCATTGTTAAATCATTGGCTGACCATGCTAGACACGTAATCTAAAGAAGAAATTAAGCGAAATTAGTCTTTATTCTTATAACATAAAATAATTGTACAAATAATAAGTATCTGACCCTTCCATTATGTCCTTTCAAATTAAAAATATTCATAAAAGATACGGATGAAAACACTTGTATGACTTGACCGTTGACGGCGGCAAAAATCTGTCCATTCGTACTAAACTTGGCTTGTTTACAATTCCTTATGGGAAACTCTCTCATCACTTCAAAGTCGTCTATCAAAACCACCATGAAACGAAGCTTATCCGAGAAACCAACTATAGCAAACAGACCTGAAAATAATAGCCAATAGTTGATAGCATCGTCGAATTAAAATTCTAACTGCATAATACTATAATACGTAGCAGTATTAGTTAAGTGGATAACCACTGAACTGTGACTTTTTATAAAAAAATAAATAAAATGATTGCCTAAAATACTTTTAAATAAAAGAATCTAAAATACTTCTTGCCTTTTTGTAAGAAGGCATCTTAATTAGCTTACCAGTAGGATGTAAGGACACGCAATGGATTTCTTCCTGATACAACTTTATCAACTCGACGTCATCAGTCATGTAGTTCCAAATTCTTATACTCTTGTCCAATTCTCCTGACGTCATAAATATGGGCTTCCAAGCGCACATGGACAATGAGTTTATCCGACCGTGATGCATTGCTGGTCCCAGTTCTATGAATGGTATTTCTGGATTCTGAAAGACGAAAGCATTATTAGAAAACCTGTAGGAATAACTTGCCTAAGTCAAAAATATTGTACTTTTGCATCTAAAAACTCAAGGTCATATCGAGGTTGATGGGTGTGTACCTGCAACATATGCTGCCCAAACAACTTGACATAGTACAGCTGTTTCCTCAATGTTGTGATAAGCAGAGTTTCTTGATTGGGATCAATTGTAATGTGTTGTATTTCGTCGAGAGTAGACCACAGCGGGTGTTCTCGAGTATGTCTATATATTAGAAATAGGTTCAATAGATTTGATTAAATAGACTAAACATTAAATTGGATGGTATGAAAGAACATATACGCACTTGTAAGATTTTTTAGAAATTCTAAAAACGTTTCTCTTTCTCCAATGATGAAGCGTCTCTTTTTCAAACATGTGAACGTAGCCTGGGCCACAACCGAAAACAAATCCTATAAAAGCGTGCGATATCATTAAAGGATATTCTCCGTGGTATTTAAGAAATAAAATATTATATTTGCTTCTGATTATTACCTTTGGCAAAGTTCACAAAGCATGTTACGGGATAGCTTTCTTCTTCATCTTTGTCAGTACTACTAGCAGAGTCTTGCTTGCTTGATGTGCTCACTCTGTCTTCTTGTTGCTCTTGTCTAATAGAACGATCATTATAAAATATAGGTATTCAATCCAGATAAAGACAGGGCAAAGTGAGACTTCCCATTATTTTAAAATTACTTACTCTGTCTCTACCTTCTTTAGCGACATTTCCATAACTTCAGTTGCTCGAAATATGCAGTTCTGTCGAAGTTCGCCATTTTCTACCATCATGATCATTCCGTGCTCCGTACCGAACATGATGCGGTCCGGCGTCAACCACATGCAGCTAGTTATGTTGATCTACTCGCAAGTGGAACAAACGAATTATGTTATTTACTAGCACCGTAATATCAATGATATAATGGTCTGTCGCGGACATTACTAAACGCAAATTGTAGTAGTAAATATGAGAAGAGACGCTATCTTACGTTTTCAGCCTTGCACCATCCCCATTGTCTCCACACTGTTTCGGAAACGTTCATTATGCGGAACGTGTATGGTCCAGTTATGACTACTAGAGTAGCATCCGTGGGGTTACATTGCACCTGATGAAATAAGATTAATAAAAAATATGTTTCAATTTAAAAATGATACCTAATAAAGTTGAAGAAAAATTTCTTACGCTCGAAACGATGCCTTGACCACTAGGATTTTGCGCTTTAGCGTGGCTCTCAACCTTACCCTTGTCCCAGTTGTAATAATACAAGTACCAGTCTGGTTCTCCCGTAATAGCTACGAGATATTTCGAGTCGTAGGTAAACTGTATACAAGCGAATTCTCTCGCTTGCGAGTTTTCGAAGGGGACGGTCAAAATCTTTCGACGTTTGTACGTGGTTAAGTCGTAAATTGTGATTATAGGCTTTTGACCTTCCTCGGCTATCTCGTTTAAAGCGAGCCATCGTCTGAAATGCGGACAATACAGGATTTAAAAGATGGAAATTACATCACTATTATAATTCCAATAAGTAGAAACTGTGTCCAAACTTCTTTGACGTTCACCTATTTGGTGCAAGAACCAAAGATTTGATAGGTTTGTGTTTATCTTGGAGTCTGATGAACTTCTGTTTCTTCTGAAGATGGTTATGAATCACAATGACACCTCCAGCGGGGTACAGGATCTCAGATTCAGTCAAGTAATGGGCATTGTATCTGTACATCAAAAAAGTCATAAGTTATTTCCTTGGTTTTCTTAACTCTGTACCTAAAGCTATTTAATTTTAATCGGTGTGAGATTAATTATTGTTTTTAAATAAAAACAATATATCTTTATTAATCCAGCCATCATTAACACAGTAGTGTTACCAGTCCCCTACCTACTAACGTCCTCTGAGAATCTATTGTTTGTTACCTTGGATTGTCAATACGCTTGCAAATAAATAAACACAGTTTACTATGTACTAAAACAAAATTATTATCAATGAAGCAATATTTAAACATTTTAGTACTTACTGAATATCTGTGCTTAGTCCATAAAATATACGAGCCGAAATATTAGGCGGTGATGGAGTTACCATAGCCATTTTTATTGATAAGTAAATATAATTATACTAAATCTACTACTAACAATAATTAATTTTTAAACTTCTACAAAGAATCTCTCTTTCCTTCAGATAAAAACGTCAAACAATAACAGTTGCCATAGATACACGGCTTAGGAAAACTATTTGGTCGAAATTATGGGATCACCACGATCACGATGACCTAACACGGTACAAATTGATTGCGTCCACGGCAATGGCCCACACACCTATATTTTTTATGTGAGGAAGTAACTAATCTAGTTCGTAATGCTTTGTAACTACTAGAAGATGATACATAAAGTACATAATGAGGATTAAAATCCTGTCCGTCCCGAAGTTTAAATATAGCAACAAAAAAGGACATCAAAGAGCAAACGTCTAGTGGATATATACAAAGAAATACAACCGGCATTGCTCATTTACGTACAAAAGAAACTGCGCATTCACCATTTAACAGAGCTCCGTCTGATTGGACCTCAATGTCGCTTGTAGTGGCGCATCCTCTGCAATTTCCGAGATAAGTCGCTGCTTCCTCTGCCCGCCGCTGCCAATACAAATCATATTTACACGTGCCATCATATTTTGTCATTACATCTTCACGACCATCCTCCATCTCATGCAAATAACGTTGTAACTATAAAATATTCATAATTTTTATATTTTTGCACGCAACCAGCATTCAGGTAAAGATCGAGTGAAGGTTGCATTAAACATTAGCGTGGGTAACACTGAATGCAGTTAAAATTAGGTACTTAAACAGACAGACATTTTATGACAATCCACAAACAGAAACCAGTACAAAGTAATGAATATAGAAAATTATGAGACATGAATTTTGAAGACAATAAACAAAGTAATGTATTATTCGGAAAGGGACAACGGATAGATACAGTCACAATTTATGCTGCAAGAACTTGACTAGATGAAAACCTATAAAATCTAGTAGAACTAACAAGAAAGAAGGGAAAAGAAATGAACAGAAAGCACGCAACCACAACACCTCATACACGTAGCTTCATATTTCTACTTTTACGACAAACTGTGAACAGTGAGAGTAGAATTTAAAGGCCGTTACACCCAAAATCGAAACTAGAATTTATTGTAACAAATCACATGGGTCACGAACAGCAAGGCTATTCTGTAAGATGTCAATTCGAACTCTCGAAGTGAGCTCGATCGCAGTCGCCATGTCAGTGGTTGTGAGAATAATTTCGACCAATGACGATCGAGAACGCGATCGAGCTCACTTCGAGAGTTCGAATTGAGTTCGCACTGACATCTTACAGAATTGTCTAGCAGTTCTAGATGCGAAAAACTTTCATAAACAGATCTCTAAGACTCAATAACAATAAACTTCGCAATATGTATTGTTCGGCACACTTCTTCGGCTGCTAATTTCGCAGTCCGATTTTTATTACCGACTTCGCAAGTTTTACATGTCAAACTCCATAGATGCTTTCTCTTTGTGGCTTTCATGAGCGTCTTCAATTGTTTCGGTTAATTATGGAAGTCATAATTAGTTTAGACTATATCTAAAATATCTTGCAAATGTTCCTATTAAAATAGGAACAATGTTCCGATTAATTACATAGGTACCGGAGGGGTAGATTATAATAAAGAAGGAAAAACGTTAATGTCAATGATAATAAAATAATATAATAAAGGAATAACATTAACAAATTACTAACTAGGTATGAACAATAAATATCTGATAAATCATTTTTGACTATGAAGAATACGTTATTACGTAATTTACAAAACGTCAAAAATCATCCCATTAATCGAATTATACCAACACATCGGAGCTTGGGAAGTCCCTGTTGTAAAGGAATGTAAACAATCACCCGCAGACCGCAAACTGGATTACCTACTGATGCAGTTTTATAGGCATAAAACCGCAATTTTATAGAGCTCCATCATATTGCCTAGAAAGTGGGCACTTAGATAACTGTTTGTTAACTAGTGACCTAGTCAATTAGTTAGCGATATTGGTCTCGATGATGCAATAACAACAAGACAATTAGATATTTCCTAATGGAAGACTGCATATTTGGGAATTAGATCAATAGACGAGGACACTTAAAGAATTTTATCTGTCTAAAAACTGCTCCTAAAGTTGCAGTAGTGGAATCAGAATTAAAACCTTTTTGCAGGTATTTACGAATCTGTTATAATGACCTTTTATCATCAGGTCAGTTATGCTATGCGTAATCCTTAATAACCTTGACAAAGGGCACAAATGAATGCTAAAACGTGCCTACATAATTATATAAATAGATCTGTTTTTAAACTATTCTAACGTCTAGCAAAAGAGCTATATTTTAATAGGTTTCTACGCATAAAGGAATTACAATATTTTCCTGTACCTTTTGTTCAAAGTGCAAGCATTACTACAAACTACAAAGAACAAAAGCGAATGATGACTAAGTCGTTTAATGTATATTACAGGCACTAAGCTAATTCTGTAACATTTTACTTCGTCTATCAACTACAGGAGATCGATAGAAAAGTAATGAATAACGTACTATGAACTCTGCATGCGAGCGTAGTAACTGGTAACTATTAGATACAAAAATATTAGAAACCTACCGCTAGAAATAGAAACTTCAATTTGAAAAACCATTCGTGTTAAAACTCTTCAAATTAATCATCAATTGCAAGAAGCAGTAATAATAAATCGAATGCTTCAGTCAGCTATTGAGGCCGTAGCATTAAATGTATTGCCGTGAAAACTTTACCCTCGTCCAAACGCTAGCCTTGTTGCGATTTATACCAAAGAAAAGAAATAATTCGTAAATAACTGTAGACCTATGTATAGTGTAACACCTTTTCGTCGTCGTGGAGTCGATCAATACCACGAAGCCAGGTCATTTGTGGTGGTATTTTAGTTGTGGTGGCCCCTATGCTCGCGTGCGCGGTTCAAATCAGCCATCTTTCTCTGAAATAACTACGGCATTGTTAATTATAAACGACGAAAACATCATTGTAAAGAATAGGATACGCTTTAGTTAAAAAGATTTCTTTTAAAATTAAATAGACTTTTAGATAATTGTCCTTATAAAATTCATTGAAAATCACGATGATTAAAGGAAACCAAACAATCCAAATCCATTTTTTCTGCCTCTGCCTCCGTACATTTAAATTCTTGTGCCCAACACAAAACACTGAAATGCTAGACACGTTTTTCTACAGTTTGTACCAACATATTTTCATGCAGTTATGCTTATGATTAAAGTAGCTCGAGTAATGTAAATATTTCAAGGCGCTATTAAATTTTCCGAAGTTGACGCGACCTTCGAGAGCTGCGGGTGACGCGGCTCCTACTTCGATGGCGTCATCTTAAGTAAATATACCTCACTGTTTACGGTAACCACCTTATGACACGTGTCGTAATCGTATAGTAAAAATATTATCACTAAACAAATGCTAGGTTAAAATAGAAGCCGGATATTATAGGGCATTAACACATTACCCAATTCATTCCTTACGAAATGCCAGTAAGCGATGTACCTAGATACACCGTAATCGACTTCCAGAGTTTCATGACAGTAGTGAATGACGTTGTGAAGGAATTGGCTGTGTAGTTTGAAGACTAAATAATTATTGATTGCATGGAAGCAACTTTCTTTTAAGTGAAGTTCAGTTAACGGGTGTGCATTGAAGCAGCATTGTTGGTGGTGCATCGAATGGCGTGCTCGATGTTCTATGTCGGTGGTGTGATCGCGTCGCTGGATGACGCTGCCCGCGGGCAGTCGCCTCGAGTGCCGCGGTGGCTAGTCCGCTAGTATGCCTCAGCCCACGACGCTGAGCGCCGCGACGCCCGGCGATCTCTCGGCTCACAACGCCGCGAAAACAAACACCGTAATTATCTCGCCGCGATAAAACCATACAACGCGCTATCAGTTCTTGATAATTCACCAGTGTGATAACTGATAAAGTAAGTGGTTGACGCCTAACGTACTGTGTATTATGTAAAACATAAAAAGTGAATTCCTGGAGACATAATTATGGCTACAGCAACTGCTCCTCGTAAGACTATCTCAATCTACGACTACCCGGAACATTTGAACCCCTTTCATGAGGAGGACAATCACAACAAGATTCGGTTTTGGACTCTGGGCAAGCGACTAAACCGATCGAACAGCATCAGTTTCTCTGGCCTGAAGGACCTGAAGAATTCTTGGTAAGTTTACAAGTTCAATATTTTTGTTTTATAAACTTGCTCAGTCGGTCCTATGAATACCATCTATGTAAACCTTGAGAATTTGTTTCAGGCTCATTTATTTGTACATTGGAATAGTAATTACATTTCTAACGGTGTGTTCCAAATAATGAGTTCTATTGACAGTTGTAGCTAGAGGCTATTAGTGTATCAATAAATAGAAAAATAAAGTTCAGACTGGGCACCTACTTAGCTACAATTTGCATACAACTGTTCAATGAATAATGCGTACCTACCTATCCTTTAGTTTACAAAATGACTATATTGTTATGAGAAACTCATGAGAATCAACTAAATATAGATTTTAAGTCAGGTTTTGGTTTGGTCATACATACAAAAATCTCACGATGATTCATGAAGAATACAAACAAGATAAAAGTGTCAATGTGTGCTGTGTTACGAAAGAAAAATTTTAATTCTAACATTAATCAGCACTTTTTGGGAATATTAAAGATTTCTTATTCATTCATTAGAAACTGAATTTGAGTTGTTATAAGGTCTGAATTCGTTTGCGGAGACGGGACACATTTCTCGTAACCGCTGAGGCCAAGAGTCCATGAGTCTTAAGTCCTTTGCGGTGTCTAAGTTCAGTTTATCGTCAAATACGCTGGGATGCAGTTGAGGTCTATTTTCAAGGTCAAAAATGTACTTACGTATTATGTTCTACGATTATGCAGGTATTTTAATGTACTTACACACCCAGATAATTTATCTAGATAACAATCAAATTGGTAATCAATAATTTTAAAGACCTTGTCTCCAACTTTTCTTTATTCTTTGGAAATTTTTGGTCGTAAAAGACAGTCGTAAGTAGTACGATCTACTTGTGTAGGTAATTCGTATAAAAGTAAT